AGTAGCAGTAGCAGCTGCAGCTGCAGGAGCAGCCGCAGCCGCAGCCGCAGCAGGAGCAGGAGCAGGTTCACGAGCAGTAGCAGGAGTAGTAGTGGTGGTGGTGGGTAGTGGTGGCAGTAGTAGTAGTAGTAGTAGTAGTAGTAGTAGTAGCATTAGCAGCAATAGTAGAAGCAGTAGTGGTAGTAGTAGTAGTAGTAGTAGTAGCAACAACAGCAGTAGTAGAAGTAGAAGAAATAGAAGTAGTAGTAGAAGTAAAAGTACAAGTAGAAGTAGAAGTAGAACTACAAGTACAAGTAGAAGTAGAAGTAGTAGTAGATTGCTCGTACTAGTGGTGTTTATGTGTGTTGGTGCGAGGCTGCTGCTAGTACTAGTGGTCGCGCACGTGCTAATGCTAGTGCCAGTGCTAGTGCGGGTGCTAGTGGTCGTGCTCGTGGTCGTGGTCGCGCTCGTGCTAGTGCCAGTGCCATTGCTCGTGCTAGTGCTCTCAGCTACAACCATAATAACAATTCTACTAACACAACGACTGCTGCGCTGCTGCCGACACCACTACTACCACTACCACTGCAAGCACCACTACCGCGACGACAACTACTTACCACCACGACAGTGGTACCACCAGCACCACCACCACGCTACAACAGCTGCCACCACTACTGATAATAATGACACAGAAAGTGTCACGTTACAGCCCGAGGTTTGCGCCAATCCAGCATTTGCTTATTTACTTTATCTTTAAGGTTCCAGACATAGTAGTAGTAATGATAATAATACTGTCGGCATTACTCTTACTCTGCTTATTGCTGTTTTCCGGCAAAGGCTCTACATTGCACGGTCAACTCAGGCTCCAACCAACACCAGAATCTCCAAGTATTTCGACCTCAGACTGACAGATCAGCATCGCTCCGCTTTTTCCAGGAAATGTCTGATCTTTAGGCGATGGTTCCCTACTGTTGAAGAGCAGCTTATAACAGCTTCTTGCACCTGCCTCCAAACTCCAACCGAAAGGCAACGAAGGCTTCAGCCCAAGAACTTCAGGCGAGCGTCGACTTGAGGTACGTCCGCACGTCCAGTTCAGAAGGATATCCACTGGTGCCGGCCGGGACCACGGGGGCCAAGGGGCTGCTAAAGTCCACCTGCCATGTCTACAGAGTGGTACCCCAAAAAGAAGAGCCAAGTGCTTCGGAAAGGCACGGAACAGAGCAGATCTGGAGTCACAGCTTCAGCTTCAGGGTCTACGGTACGTTGCTGCCCTTTGTCGACGCCAAGACTGAGGGTCTGGATGGCGAGCTGTCTCCAGCGAGTTTTGATCTGTTGCCAGTCCACCCCTCAAAGCCTGAAGCCAAGCTTGACGCTGCCTAAAGCGTCTGCCTTGTGGCTGACTTCCGCGGGGAGGCCCAAGAAGATCACTCCGTTGTACATGTCCATGTCTGGCTCAATCAGGTGCATCCTTTTCAAGGCGGGAAGCACGACAACAGCAGTTCAGGGTCCAGAGCATGTAAGAGCCATGCTAAAAGCCACAGTAACATGCTCGCGGTCTTCTAGCCGTAATCTGGCGGCATGTTGCTAACATGGCTGGTGGCTCTTCTTTTGCACTGGAAGATAATTAAGTACAACTGTGAGCATAACTAATATGGGACGCGAGCAAGTTTTGACAGGGAGATTCTGTTTGTGTTCTCACAAACTCTCATGTCACATGAAAGGCCCTGGATCAGTAGCATGTTGATTGGATGTCCAGAAAAACAGCCACCTTCTACCACCTCATTGTTAGTTCACAACATCTCCGCACGAACCTAAATTATGTGGGTCTTCGTGGCATTGCACCAGCAAAAAGAAGCCGTGATTTCAATATCATCACCATCACCACCATCATGATCCTGCTAAAGCTCGCCTGCAAGTACTTTAACATCCGGCGGATAATCATAATTGTCGATAGTAATGATGCAATGTTTTATGTGCTGTCGATTAACTAAAACATGAACGAGAGCGCAATCAAGAACGCGGATGACTCAGCCTCGCCTACCCAGATTCCTTTCATAAAGTATTGAAGATTTCAAATCTACTACGCTCCGCGTGGCCTTCCATGCGTCCTTTGCTGCTTGTTGTTGTGCTGTTGTTGCGGACTCCTGACAAGGTCAATAGAATCCTAGAGTCCTAGAGTCCCACATGGCAGTTACAAGATACCACCAGGCAGCCGGTTGCTTCCTGGATGTTTCTGGTTGATGACGGGACGTGGCACCCGTCCCAAAAATTCCGAAAGTGTTACACTTCTGCGAAAAGCATCACGCCCGTGAAAACATGCACTCCAAGAGAAAGTCCACAACCGGCTTGCAACGCGAGGTTCGCATTCACCTCCACGCGCACACCGCGTGGTTGAGAAGGGTCCTGCAACATGTCGTGCCAATGCTATATGATCATGGTGCACAAACTAGAGTTCGAAATAAAGCACTTGTGCAGAAAGTTCGAAATAAAGCACCTGTGCAGCGGGCTGCTGTATCCAATTGCCAATAAGTCAATACTTGTGCAGAACCTACAACTACTGCCAGCCTGAACGGGCCCCCGAATCCAGCCTTGTGGTGCTGAACGCAGTACACTTGGATCTTCCCTGGCGGTTGGTGATACACAGCTCTGAATTGATAAGGGCCTTGCAGAGCATGGGTGGGTTTGCGGGTTTCATGAGGTTTCAGTGCTAAACCTAGCAGAACTTTCGGATCTTTGGTCCGCCTCTGTGCCCACTCGTTAACTGGAAGTCTGCCATATTCCTGCATGGGGATGCTCTACATGGGTTCACCCTTGGCGACAATCGCAGCATTGCATTGTGCCGTCTCGAATGCGGAGTTTGGCAAGCCGAAGGCCCTCAGCTTGCTTCAAACATGTACTAACTGCCTTCGTCCAGTCTGGGTTCAGGGTTTAGGGTTTAGGGGTTTAGGATCGCAAGCCCAAGATACCAAATTAAGCAAAGTCCCGATTCGAGTTTGCCGCAATGAAACCTGGTTTAATCAACTGAAGGCTTGCTGACTTAGAGGGTGGACTTGTCACCAAGTACTGAGTATGTCCCTGGACCCGACAATTCGAGTCTCGAGGGCCGCAAGGGCCTGGCCTTGCGACAAACTGAAGCCAGTCCTTTCCAGATACGAACGATGTTGAGGAGGCTGTGCTTATCCGCCGACGTAGCTGGTACAAAAATTTTAAGCTCGGTGGATACAGGTGCACATCTACATCGACAGTGAACACGTACATGTGGACATACCAGAAGAAGTGAGTGACCACAGCTGCTCGAGCCTGATGGTGTTGTCTCCTAGTGGCTCCATGGCACCCCCGCCCAAACAAAAGAGAGAGAGCCCAGGCATAGCAGAGGCTAAACCCAAACTCTCAAATATTCGATTCCCATCTGTCCTCTTCGCGATCCTGAACGTCATCTGCACGCAGCCGTCTACCACTCTGAGAAGCGCCGTGTCACTGAACATCACGCTCGCCGCGTGCGCACTGGCCTCGGTCCAGATCACTGCGTTGAGATGCCCAGAGGCCCAGAACACCCAACAAGGCAAAAGCGGAAATCCTTTGCAGCCCAGGGGCCGCTGAAATCCTTCGTTCAGGGGATCTCTCACACAAATGCTGCCCCTGCTAGCTCCCGATTAGGCTCTCCAGCCGGCGGTCTTCAGATTGGAGCTTTGTCAGAATCTCTGGACAAGCCAGAAACGGCGATCAGTCAATCAAGCAGCGTGCTGCTTCTAAGCTCTGCTTCAACACTGAGCACAGAATTGCGAATGTTTCGACTGAACCGAAGGCTGCCCTCTCCTCCAGGCACAAAGACATGTCAGCCAAGATTTGTCGAGAAGCTGTGCAAAAACGATGCCGATCACAGCTGCATCCAGCATCTGCCCGCAGACGACCTGATGGCGACTCTGCCCAGAAATCGTCCGTGCAAGATCCTGCCCGACCAAGCAAGGAACCCTACAGTGCTCAGAACTTGGGATCTCGCCTGCAACGGCAGCAAAAGTACCGCTTCCGGGCAGCCAGCGAAGTTCTCCGCCGGGGCCCCGTAACCTGGTTCCAAGCAGGGGATCTGAGCCCCACGAGTTACGAGTTGGGCTGTGAGCGGACCGTCGGGCTGCGGATGGCGTCACTGCAAAGGCTCACAGCCGCATCTCCTCACCCGATGCAATCGCAGAATGGGGGCCGATGGTCATCTGCGTCTCGACGGAGAAGTAGAAGGCCGACATAAGACCCGAAAGCCTTTCGGGCTGAGACTTTCGAGCTTTCGGACCTAGCCCACGTGGGAAACTCCCTGGCCCCACCCTCTAGCTCCCACTGTGTAGATCCAGCCGAGTAGCCCGATGGCGCAGCTGTCGGAAATGCTCCACCACATAATCGCAAAGAGCAGGTGGCAGAGTGCCTCATCAACGCTTGCTGCCGCCGGGGGATGATGTGAATGCAAACAAGACTGCACACTTACCCTACTAAAGTGAGAACTGGCATCTTTTGTTCTCTCAAACCGCGACTTGAGAGCAGGATTCTCCAGCTCTCCTGCATTACTCGCATGCTGCCCGTGACTGGATCCGAGGTCGCGGCGTAAGAGATGAAGACCATCGGATAGACTCCAAGAACCGGCACTTGAAGTATAGTGTGGAAGAAGTCATAGAAAAACATAGCATAGATCTTCCGCTTCTTCCGAACCCAGTACACCTGATCATGTCCGGACTGAGTCAGAACGGCTCACGAATTCAGTAAGCCATTCAGCGTGCAGGGTCTCCCATCCCGAAACCAGTCCGAAGCAGAAGGTTCCAGCCCAGACGCCCGGGTGCTCTGGGACTCACCCGCGTCGCGGTCCAGGATGCGCTTGATCTTGCCTCTTTGCTGCACCAGGAAGTGGCTGTCCTGAGACTTTCAACTCAAGCAACTGCGAAGTGACACCCTCTTTCTGGGAACGCATGCAGTTGGCAACCTTATTAAGCCTAGCCTATACTGTAGGGGCATGAAAGCTTGGCAAGCAGATTATCATCAATTGTCGCAACTTGCCGTCCCGGCTGACACGTAGGCGCGGAGCACGATCGTGGAAACAAACGCAAGACAGCAAAAAATCACACTCATACAATATTTTTGAAGTGTTCCTGGAGTCAATCATCAGGTTCTAGCAATCGGCAGGAGATTCAGGCCAAACAGCACCCAACAGCAACCGCAGCGAGGTTGGTCGAGTGGCTCGGCGCGTGATCTCCCGCAAGGGTGCAAAAGGCGCTGAGACGGCATGGTCGAGGTCGAACCTGTCCTCAGTCTTCGACGTGGTCGCGCCATCACTCGGCCTGTGCAGCGTTCAATTCAGCTCAAGGTTCCTCGCCATGCGCGAGAGTGTCGGAGGACTCGTGGCCGTCCTGATGCAGCCACAGCAACGCCGCTCGAAGCCGAGAGACCGCGCCAAAACAAAAAGAAACAGATCGCGTTCAGCCTCATCGCTCCGCTCTGCGGCATCCCAAGAGGCCATTGGCCCAGCAGGACTGCATTACACTGTGCCTCAAAGGCTGCTGGTGCAAGAAACTGTTGAGGCCTCACGTTGTACAGTTCAAATCCTGCAGATGCTCAAGTGCGGCTCGATCGAGGGTCTGAGGGGAGCTTGGGAGCGCTCTTGTGTTAAGACGCGCCCTGCCGGTGATCAGCAGTCCGGAAGATGGTTTGGCTGGGTGTTAGTATGTCCAGATACCCGTGCTGTCATCACGACGGCTGGCGCAATCAATCCGGATCTGGATCCAGAACAGCTGCGGTTTTGCAGACACATCCTACTTCCACGCATGCACTTCACGGAATCTCTATCATTCGTTTTTCAGCTGCCTCGGGATGACACAATCCCGAGACTCCAAGGAGAGACGGCAAAAGGATGAAGAGGAAACAATCACGTCAAGTGACGGCCAATTTGCAAAAGCAGCTCTTTGGTTGCAGTCTTACCACACTGGCACGGCCCTTCTATGAAAGACCCGCCCCCAAGCAAACCACGAAGAGCACCTTCTGCGAGTTGCAATCAACGTAAACCCCGACCCTCACACAATCGAGGAGTCCAACTATTCAGTTGAGGACTCGCTGTACGACGGAAACTGGGAAGACGTCCCGCAACCCGATCTTCTCAAATTTCCTCAGGCTCGGACTGCAGATGTAGTCGCGGACGGCTGTGCAGCACTGCCGCCACCAGGTCCTGGCGGATGCAGCGTGTGAAAGGTGCCTGCTTCGTTAGGCTTCAGGGAGTCGTCGTGGCTGTTGGCCTGTAACTCTTTTTGCAATCACAGTGTTGTCAATTCGTAGGTTGGGGTTCCACATGCCACGAAAAACTCCAGAACATGACCTTATCATCTCGGCAAGCTCGGAACCTGCTGCGCTTCGTGCGCCCGCAGCTCCAGGCAGACATCGAGCAGCATGGCATCCCTGCAGTTCAGGGCATGGCCGAGGCCCAAGAACGCGAGACCAAGGAGAGGTGTCTCGTCGGTAGGCGAGGCTGCAGAGAGTCAGAGAGGGAGACGGGGCTCCGAGGTGCTGAGGGCCCCGGCTTGCTGGCTGGGAAAAGGCTCCCATTGCAACAGACCTCAACAGGGCCATTGCTCCGGCCCACGCGGATTCTAGTCTGTGGAAGCCTCGCGGAGCAGCGTGCTCGCGGTGGAAGATACCTCGCTCATACGGGAATCCAAGAATTTGATGGAACATAAGAGTTTGGAATCCAAATTCAATACCCCAAGATGACGAACCTGCAGTGGCCCTAAAGGGTGCCAGGCCTGCTTGTCCTCGGAGCCCAGCAGGGAAGCCAGGTTCCGCAATGCAAAGGCATTGAAGAAGAACACCTGATCGGGGCCCAGGGCTTGACAGCAAAAAAAACGTGTAGTAAACCGTGCTTGCAACACTTTGGATTCCTTGGATTTGTAAAATGGCCACGAGCCGTGTCGCAGACTTCCCCCGCGGCTTTCTGACTCTGCCGTCTACTTCTAGTTTCGCCGGCCGGAAATCCAACGGGACTGCTCCCGCATGTCGATTTGCTCGGAGACTTCGACTTCCTCGGAACCGAGGTGCTGCACTGCCTTCGTCTGTCGTGGCAACTGCCTCTGGCGCACCACCAGTTCCAGGATCTCAGCTAGTCGCACAAGCAGCACATCGCGAGCAAAATGTCTTCAGCCTTCGAAGCGAAGCATACGACAAATGTATGCATATGTCACATGACATACAATCTATCTCCAGGCCCATTGAAGAACCTTCGAGACTCTTCCTGCTCGGAGCCGTGCGTCACGCACGAAGGCCAAGGCTTCCTGGGGTGGATCCTCACCGACGCCAACACGATCAGCAGTGCTTCAGGGGTTGTGCCTGCGGGGTGGCACCTTACTCTAAGGAACATCCATGCCCAGAGTCCACCTACGGCACCTTGACCACATATCCTGGACAGACCCTTCTAGGAAAGACATAGTGGCTGTCAGAGCTACTCGTCACGACGGTATGAGTATGATGAGACCCAGCAAAACAACAACAAAGCAGGAACTGCACACCGTGTCCAAACTCTGACCTGCGATAATCCACGCAGGACGCCGCCAATGAGGTCTTTGATTCCTGGCAGCAACATATTGGCGAGCTGGAAGAGGCCACGGCGAGACGCATATCTCCCACCCATCATGGCTCCCGAGTACGACTCATGTGCAACGGCAGCCTAGGGCAGCAGATGTCAAGGACGGATCCTTCCATCGCAAGAAGCCTCGAGGTGCGGGGAGTAGGCAACCAGGCAGTCATGAGTTCTGCTTGTGTCTCTGTCGGAAACACAGGAAACACAGGATCCAGGGCAACTCTGCATCTCATGATCAAACTTACCCAGCACCAAGGCCTTCCGCCAAAACTCAAAACCCTACATGACATAGACCTCGACTTCCAGGAAACGTCTTGTGGAATCTGCAATCTGGATACATGGCTGGGCTTGAATCTATTTTCTAGTGACAAGATCTCCACTTCTCTCAGCTTCAAGGCCACAGACGTCGATACAAGAACGTCATCACCCAAAACCAGACTTTGGGACCGAGCTAGGTGCGTTTACGTTTCAATGCTGCCGTGCTGAAGCTCAAGGCGGCTGGGCGGCTGGTGGCGAATCTGGAAAAGAAAGTCCTCGTGTCCACCTCTGAGCACGGACAACAATATCTTACAACAACCAGAATCAGTCACCAACTAGATTGCAACTACAACCATGCAGTCGTCCGAGTAGGTAAATGGCATCGTCATCAGCTAGGAAAGGGATCATAGAGCGTGCACCAAGGAACGTCTGCTGGTGGTTGGACCACTTCCAAGAGTCATGCTCTGCCCCCACCATCACAAAACGCATCCCTCAGCCACTCTGGATGCAAAGTCCTACCCAAACTCCTCGAAACTCCTCCCATGCACTGCCCCGTCGGGCGCCTTCGGAGGCTCCTTGCGGTTCCCCTGCGGCTGCGACCAAGGGCCGAGGCAAGGCTCAGAAATGCTCAGAATCTCAGTCTTCTCTGTCGTTTCCCTCTTTTCTCCTCAAGTTCTCTGAGCTGGGAGTGCAAAGCTTACAGTCAGTATGTACATGTATGTACCACAGAGATGCATCCTGAGCCGTCAACGGTGGCCCTGAAAGCACCACAGAACGCGATCATTGAGACCACACAGCAAAACCCATCCCGCCCGCACCTATATGGCACAACCCGGGGCTGGCCTTGTCCTTCTTGGAAGCCTGATGCCTCCTCTGGGACAGCCTTGCAAATCCTTCGTGGGCAAAGTTGAAGGTCCGGAGCCTCAGCGCTGGGTCGCAGGTTCTCATTGGGGCCGAGACGTATCTTGAACTCAATCTCACAGGCTCTAATCCTGCACCGAGGTCTGAACAACTGCGAGGACATCGATTGGCTCACAGAACTCACTCCCGTGAGCAGCCTTTCAAGACAGTTCAGCTGGCTTTGTGGCGCGTACACGGGCTTTTACATGGTGCTTCATCCGAGAAAGGCTGCGACATATGCACTTCCGGTCTTCACATTGACATCATTGACATGAAGCCCCAAAGCCCTGCGTTTGTCCCTTTATCTAGCGACTACAAGGAGAGCGTATATAGCGTACGGCATGCGTACACGTGGTACCTACATCGCATTCCGGTTTGCAGCGGCCCGCGGCACTGCCTCAAGCATGCCTTCAGCAGCTGGTCACGCTCGGTGCCCAGGTAGCGGTAGAGCAGCTGGGCATGGGCAGAGGATCGCAGTCAGACTTGATGGTCTAGATCAGACACAGGCGATTGGCGTCTGAAGAGTGCCTAGACCTGGCTGATTTGCAATCTGTGCTTGGAGGGCAGGCCTGCAGGTGCTCCGACAAGATACGCCCCGCCACGCCCTGCCGCGTCTTGGCAGTTCGGGCGCCTGGTGCACAGAAGCGGTGCCCACGGCAAAAGGTTGAAGCGAAACAAGCATGCAGACAACAGAAGTTGTTGATGCAGTTCCGCCTAGGTGCAGGACAACGAGACCACCACTACATGCAAATGTTGCAAGCTTCGAGTGCAGGGAGTCATGTTTGAAGCGGCTTCAGGTCCGCACATCCTTCAGAGCAACATAGCTGCAGACGCACCCGCCTTCATCGAAGCCGCCTTCCAAAACTGAAGCCAGCGTCTCGATCACCAGGGCGGCAATGCGGTTTCCATCACCAGACTCCTGGTGGCGGAGAGAGGCGAATCGCTGGGCGATTTGTCACAAAGTGGCAACTCGAACAAACCTGTCGTGTTCCAAAGTCCCGTTGCAAAGCAGTCTAGGGTACATGCAAAGGCTGGCAAGCCATACCGCGATTGAGTCAGTGATGTCTGGCAGCTTTAGGCCAGCAGGGAAATCTGAGAAGGGGCCAGTCTGAAAAACTGATGTGTTCCAAATGTTCCAAATGCGTGGTCTTTCATCACATTGGCCTAATTCGGGAGCAAGCTCCCAGTCCTAGGATTTCGGACCACATGCTGAGCTTATTGCTGCCTGCTAGCCGGCAACCGTTGCTGGACCCGATGGCGCCTTCAAGAACTAAGCGTCTTCCGAAACAGCCTGACAGATTTCAAACTCCGTGAGTGTCTTCACATTGTCTCCTTCCCCGTTCCTCCTTCTTCGGTCACAACATGTCACAACCACAGTTTGAGGAATGTGCCCCAAGCATTGCCCAAGCATTAGGTGCAGCCTCATTGGCACCGACGCAACACTTCTCACTGAAGCTCTCCTGACGCTGCCACAGAGCGAACAGCTCGGCGCCTTGGAAAAGCAGAGCAATCGACATGGCTCCCGCAAGTACAGAACCAGCAGCCTGGGCTTAGGCATCCACACTGCGGCGACAGCTGCACGTATGCATTGAGCAGCTGCACCTACCGAATCATGGGCTCCTATGGACTCTGGCAATCGCCGCCCCGCACTGAACTTACTGAACTTTAGTACTTCCTAAAGGAGGAATGGACAATTGAAGGAGTATTCATGACACTCGTCCTTGACTTGTCCCCAGAAGCCGGAGCAGACCAATGGTGCCCGGCCCGTGCAGCGCCTCCCCGCTTCGGAGCTCCGCACAGAGCCCGGCCAGTGAAGCTTCGGCTCGCTGCTTCTCGCCTGAGCTCCAGGAGTGGCCAAAAGAGAGGTACGATGTGATTCACGATCTCAGCGCAAACGCCAAGCTCCGCGCCCTGCAGCTCATTTGCAAGCGTACGGGCCCTCTCACCTGATGCTAGCATCTGCTGGTAGTGAAGTGCGCCAGAAGCAGAGCTCCAACTACAGCAGAAAAAGTCGTGGTGGTGGTGGTGGTGGTGGCGGTGGCGGTGGCGGTGGCGGCGGTGGCGGTGGCGGTGGCGGTGGCGGTGGCGGTTGGCGGTGGCGGTGGCAGTGGCGGTGGCGGTGGCGGTGGCGGTGGCGGTGGCGGTGGCGGTGGCGGTGGCGGTGGTGGTGGTGGTGGTGGTGGCAGCGGAGGTTCCGAACACTCAACACCCGGACACTTCGCACAGCAAGCATTGCAAGACAAGACGCTCTCCATGGATCAGAGGACCAACGCATGGCCAAGGCGTACCCGTACCGACTGGATGCTGTCAGTTGATTAAGGCTGCACTTGTCGCCCAAGCAGCCAAGAGCTGCGCATGACTCCAGGGTTGGAGCTTTTGGGTTTGGGGGATGGCTAGAAAGGTTTCACCGAATGCCTGGCATTGCTGATGTGCGAGGTTGTTAATGAGTTCGCCTCAGCGCTTCGGGATCTGCACACACAGTTAAGGCAGACCTGGCTCATCAGCTTGGTGACGCGTTATAGCGAGCCTCGAAGAATGCAGGATCCATCCGAACCAAGTGTGGCATGTCATTCAAGCATGCCTAGCCACGACTTCATTCCCTCCAGGCCTCATGAAACTCGCAAGGACTCTCAGCGAATTCTTTTCGTCTCCCGCCGGGGATTCCCAGAGCTTCTCGGATTCCCATGTCTGGCTTCGGATACGCACTGGAGCTGAGACTGCGACTTGGGGCTCGAAGCTACGGGTACATGACTTGCAAGGGCTCTTTTTTGAAGACCTCCTACTCCTACCTCGCCAGCTTCTTGGCTTCGCTCCAGCTCCAAGCTCCTGTAAGGAGGCGCAGGCCAAGAAGCGAAACTCGACATTCTTCTCATTGGCCCTAGGCATCGAAATACATGTCTTGGATGCCTGCAGCTTCAGGGGGTACTTGGAGCCTCTTGGTCTCACCTGTGCTGTAAACGTACACGAGGGAAGGGAGCTTCTCCATTCAGGGCCGCCTCAAGATCTTGCTGTGGAAATACACCTGCGCAATGCTCCTTCGCATAGACTAATGTGCAAAGAGGAGAAGCGCCGTATGGCTGCCGCTGCCCGCAGCACTTAAAGCGAACCACAGAGCCAGCGCGCTTGCTTCGCAGCACTAGCAGAGAGGACGGCGGGGCTGGCGGCATTATGTACAACGACTCCGGGCTACGGGTGGGCCCGGCTTGCATCAAGCTACACTCAACTGTCTTTCACAGAAGGCAGCGCTTGGGTGACGGGGGCCATACATGTCAGCTCAGATCCACATCGGGCACGGAAGAAGCCGCCTTGGAAACGTGCAGCCTAAATCGCTGCCATCCCGAGAGCATACTGTTCCACCAGTCAAATCTCAGCAGCAACGTCCGCACTACGTCAACAACAGGTGTTGCTGCTGCTGATGTGCTGATGTTTATGCTACATGTATACATACATTATTTGCTTGTGTGTGTGATATTCAATTCGTTCCAAGATTGATGGATATCTTGGTATCTGGATCTGTCCTTCGTGTAGATTTCCTTGTTTAAGTTTATGTCTGCTAGAGCAGTGATGTTAACCTTGTGTTTGCTATTGCCTTCCTCACTAGCTGTGGTTGCTTTTCATGTGTCTTCAACTATCTTTTCTTGTTCAAACATAGTTGTCTCTCGCTTGCTGACATCTATCCTATTCATCTGTATTCATGCACGCTTGTATGCATTTACACCGTGAATGGTTTGCATTCATTTCCGTTAAAGCAACTAGATATTCGTACGAAGATGTGTGTAGAATCAGTGTAGAAGCATGATATGTACATAATAATATCTGTTTGTATGCACGTATATATATATATATATAGGTGCATCTATACAGTATACAGATACACACACACACACATATGGATCCACCGTTTTCGTGTGTTTGAGAGCCGAAGACATGAAGATTCGCATGGATTTGTACTTGTGTGGGCATGACGTGAGCATTGCATGAAGAAGTGTTTGAGAGCCGCAGGCAGAAGAC